CTGCTTTCTCTCTCCACAGAAGCTGCCAGACCTGCTGAGTTTCTCCACAATTTCTTCTTTTTATTTCAGAGACTCTACAGCCAACCCAGATTTAACCCGGACTGCACATTCATCACGCCAGCTGTTGTCCCATTTACAATACCCGCAGGAAAACGGAATTCCTCGTTTTCACATACCCCACCTCAGTCAGCATTTCTTTGCCACAAGTCAAGACAGTTTGGGAAGCTGGCTGCCAGGAGACAGGAAATTAGGAAGATTGCATTACAGCAAGAGAAGACGTTCCCTCTGCTATGAAATGGTGGAGGGAGAGCCTTGTAATTGAGTGAAGCTTAGACTAGTTTTCGATGCCTCGGTTAACCTTTGCAGTAACAAAAGGTTGTTTGCTCAATGTATAAACAACCCTCCAGGACTGGGGTGATATCCCCAGATGCTACTATGTGTAACCCTGGAGATAAAAATTGTGCGAACCTTAAAAAAAGGTTTCATTTTAGTCACACTGTTTGAACATTTCACCAGACACAAAGATATCGAAAATAGAGCAATGGCCACCAGTCAGGCATCGTCCAATTAGGCAATGAGTCATTTTATCCTCTCATAGATGTGGAAAGGCAGTGTATCAAGATGATGGAGCTGTTGTCCAATAAGCAGTTAGATCACCGAGGGGTGAGTCAAGGCTTCTGGGGAAAAGGCAGGAAAGTGGAGTTAAGGGTTATAAGTTCAGCCATTGAATGGTAGAACAGACTCGATAGACTGAATGGCCCACTTCTGCTCCAACATCCTTATGGTCTTATGGAGTCACGTGAAGAAACCACCAGGAATAGATGGGATCACAGTTTGCAACCCAATAAATGGATGGATCACCTTGGAGGTTAAAAGCTGTACCCATACTGGGGAGCCAGTTTGATTGGCTTTGATTTCCTGAATACTGGATTGCAAGAAGCACATAGTAATTGTTGGGTGTTGTGCAGGCAGCTCTTTCCACATAGAAGAGAGAAGGTCACTAGTGTTGTAGAACAACACAACTACCCCAGAATGGATGGTAGTGTTCTCTATATGCCCATGTGCTTGTGCCATATACACACCTCTGTCCTCAGCGATGACCTGCACCAGCTCGTATTCCTCAGGCCTATCCCCATCCAAATTGTGCTTGGCCATAGCCTTTCGAATGACGACTGGTGTTTTATCCTGGCTCGTCACCTGGAGAAAAAGAGAGTTTTCACTTTTTCGAGCTGCAGCTACAGAACCTGCTGTCTATTTATTTGGTAGATGGGAATATATGGGGTCCAGGTTTATGGGGGAGGGGGGCCTAATGCTCCTTCTATTTCAAACCCTCATTGCTACCAAATCCCACACACACAGCATGCAGACATACATGCACATACACACACACAAACAAATAAACAGTCCCTAGTCCTCACACACTGTTTCTTTGGGAGAAATGGTTGAGTAGTTGCAATGTCTCTGGACTAATTATCCTAGCAAGCTCAGGCTTCAGGGAACATGGATTGAAATCCCACCACAGCGATTCAGGAAACAACCCATTACCCAGCAACAACACCACCTCCCAGCTATCCCGCGATGAAATACGAGGGGGCTCTGGGCCCTATGCACAAAGGAGACACTCACCAAAATGCTCTTGTACATGTTCCCATTGTCAACGTCCAGGCTGACCCGAATGATACAGCAGTCGTCCACCTGCTGGTTATAAAGTGGCAGAGATAGTGTGGAGTAGCTGGATATTCCCGAGACAGAGCGTTTGTGTGTTCTGGAGGACGTTATAGGTGTGGAGGAGACCGAGGACGAGGATGCACTGCTTGACCCTGAGCCGATTCCGGATGTGTCCAATGAGGACAGCGACGTTGATTCCCAGAACTAAAAGAAAATTTTTAAAAAATAATAAAAAGTTTGCCTCAGGGACAAACGGGTACCAAGCTCGCCCGGTCTGCCCTGCCTTGGAACACAGTCCCTGTCGGCACTGTGATTGTCCAAGGATCTGTACAAAGGGAATTACAAGGGAACAAAATAAGGCAATGAACCAATAGGTCAGGGCTTTACAGTGAACCTCAGTCTGTGGCCTCTGTATTTCCATTGGCATCTCTGTGGTTTATTTACACCAAAACTCAAGTGCATTTACTTTGTGGTCAACGCCAAAGTATCACAGGCAATTCCGAACAAACTAACGAACAATCTATTTTTTATTTATTTCGTCTGCATATGTCTTTCTCGACAGCTTTACATAAACACCGTTTTCCTCGGGGTGGGGATCCACAAAGGAAGCATTTGCAGAACGGACAAACCATCAGCACCAACTGGCCAGCACTGGTCAGACCTTCAACAGGAGATGGCCTGCTGGGGACGGCTTAGTCCAGGCTGAGATAGAGAGATTTTAAAAAGAAAAAAAAAAAAAAAAAATTCGGTAAGGGAGTTGAGGGTTATGGGGAAAAAGGCAGGCTCATCAGAACAGCCATGATCTCACCGAACAGCAGAGCAGGTTTGATGGGCTGATTGGCCTACTCTTGCTCTTAAGGAGATGGATAAAACAGCAGGCAGCACAGCCCTTGGATTTGAACCCACCAAATCAGAGCAGGCGCCTTTGAGCCTATTCTTACAGGCCTTTCCGTGCCAGTTTAAAACAGTGTGGCGCTTAAATCTAGAACGACCAGGCACCTTTACAGAGGCGGCCTGCTGCTTTATGTTCACCAGCCTCCCGGCACCCTCTGCCTGCCTGGCATCGCCACGCCAATGGGCAGGGGTTTCTCGGGCCTCGGAATCAGCGGGCAAGGACTTCACCGCTTGGATGCAATGCACAATCGCCTCCCTAACCTTTTTCTCCTGGGAATCCGGCGATTCCGAGATGAAGCTGACATTGATTTCTTCCGCGTCAGAGTTGCTTGAGCCAGCAGAGGTGACGCTAACAGAGTCTGCCGCGTCTCCACCGCTCAGGTACGGTCCATACTTGAGCTGCTCACAGGATCGAGACTGGGCGCCCGTGCTCGGAGTGTCTGCAGTTGGTGTCTGCCTGCTATTGTCATCGATGAGAAGGAAACAGGAAGGAGCTAAAATCAATCAATCAATCAATCACCATAGAACAGTACAGCACAGTACAGGCCCTTCGGCTCACGACGTTGTGCCGAACTTTTACCCTAAACCTAAAGTCTATCTAACCTCCAACCCTTATACTATCATCCATATGCCTATCTAATAGCCGCTTAAATTCCCGTAATGAGGCCAACTCCACTACCCTCTCTGGCAATGCATTCCATGCCCTTACCACTCTCCGAGTAAAGGACCTACCTCTGACGTCTCCCCTATATCTACCTCCACTCATTTTAAAACTATGCCCCCTCGTAATAGCTACCTCCACCTTAGGAAAACGTCTCTGGCTGTCCACTCTATCTACACCTCTCATCATTTTGTACACTTCTATCAAGTCACCACTCATCCTTCGTCGTTCTAAAGAGAAAAGGCCTAGCTCTCTCAACCTTTCGTCGTAAGACCTTCCCTCCATTCCAGGCAACATCCTGGTAAATCTCCTCTGCACCTTTTCCAACGCTTCCACATCTTTCCTGTAATGAGGCGACCAGAACTGGACACAATACTCCAGATGTGGCTGAATTAGGGTTTTGTATAGCTGGAGCATAACTTCATGGCTCTTGAACTCAATCCCTTCACACCTTCTCCAAAAAGCCGAACCAGAATGGAAATGAGGAGCCCTATCATTGCCGTAGGTAGGCCTGGACTTTGTCTGATGCTGTAAAGCCACGAATCAGCCATTTCCTGATTTCCACTTCAATGCAAACATGAAACAGGATTGCTGACTCACTTTCCACCAAAGTAGATAATAGCCTCCATTGTACAGCTCTGAGACAACAGATCTCTAGTCCCTGAGGGTGTATAGGTACACGCATCATTGACAGGCGGAGAAAACCATCAATAAAGCATTTGGTATCCTCAGCTTTATTAACTGGGGGATAGGGGCCAACAGTAAGGAAGTTATGATAACACAGTGTGGAGCTGGAGGAACACAGCAGGCCAGGCAGCATCAGAGGAACAGGAAAGCTGACGCTTCGGGTCGGGACCCTTCCTCAGAAATGGGGGAGGGGGACAGGGGGGCTCTGAAATAAAGAGAGAGGAGAGGAGGGGTGGGGCTGGGGAAGGTAGGTGGGATGGTGATAGGTGAGTGCAGGTAGGCAGTGGCGGAGGGTTGATCAGTGAGGTGGGAAGAGCAGATAGGTGGGAGAGAAGATGGACAGGTCAAGGAGGCAGGGATGAGAGGGAGATAGGTACCTGGCCCGCTGTGTTCCTCCAGCTCCACACTGTTATCTCTGACTCCAGCATCGGCAGTTCTTACTATCTCTGAGGAAGTTACGATGGACTTGTTTAAGACACTAGTCAGTCTTCAGTTGGAGTACTATGTCCAGCTCTCAGCTCTACACTATAGGAAAGACGTGAACACGTTGGGGAAAGGAATGGGACGAGAAACTTCAGTTCTGAGGATAGATTGGAGGAAATTAGGTCTGTTTTCCTTGGAGAGAAGAGGGCCAAGAGGAGATCTGACAGAAGCTTTTAAAATCACGGACATTCTGGATAGGAAAGATAGGAAGAAACTGCTCCCACTTGGTTAAATCATCGAGAATGAACTGATTTGCAAAAGTAGCAAATTGATGCGAGAGAGAACTTTTTCGTTCAGTGAGTTGTTAGGGTCTGGAATGCACTGCCTGGAGGCAGGTTCAATTAAGGCATTTGAATGATTGTTTAAATAGATGCAAGTGTTCAGGGGAAAAAGGCAGTAGATTGGCACTCAGCCATATTGCTCACATCAGCCTTGCTCCGCTTGCACATCACTTTAAATCTATGCCGTCTTGTTCTTGTTCCATTTACGAACAGGAGCAGCTTCTCCCTATCTACTTTGTCCAGCCCTGTTCATGATTTCTATCCAATCCCCTCTCAGTATTCTTCTGTCTAAGTAAAACCGTCCCACCATCTTCAGTCCATCCAGTCTCAACAGTAACTTTCAAAGGGGGATTGAATAAATACGTGAGTGAGTGGGGATAGAGTTGCCGGGCTGTGGGGGAGGTATAGGAACATGGGACTAATAGCTCTTCTGAAGAGTAAGTACAGGCTCAATGGGCTGAAGGTCCTTCCCTATATGCTACATCAGATTGCCCTGCCCAGTGAAGGCAAATAGCAAATGACACTCACTCAGTCCACCGTTTGATGATGCCAGAGTTCTTTTTTGCTTTCAGAGTGTTGCTCGCTGACTCTGCCAGAGGCTCAATTTCACACGAGAGGTTGTAACTGCAATGAGAAAAATGATAATGTTATTATACTTCCTGAGTTGAGCAGCTCAGAAACCAGCAAGCTTCATCCATAAATCAATTCTATGGAGCTGATCCTTACAAAACCTTAGTCTCATTCTGAACCAGATACTCATTCAGCAACACCGATGTCACAGGTAAGGCACCCTATACGGAGGCAAGGGAACAAGAGGAAGCCATTCAGCCCCTCAAACCTCCTCCGCCATTCACTTGTAATCTTGGCTGCTCCGTATTGTCTGTCTCCGTATCCATTCGAGACCCTGCCATTCCGATTTACGCAAAGTCAAACAGGGCAGTTTCTCAGAGTAGGGCAGACCTGTAACACTAGGTCTGACATCTGGAGGCTAGTTTGAATTGGCTGTCTCAGACCTTTACTGGGGCACGACCCCCATGGCAAAGGGGAGGGAGTGGGGCCTGGGGAGCTTCCCAGCACCTTCCTCACTGATGAGCCGGGATGGTATGACCGTTGGGTCACCCAATCCAGGTCTTTGCTCAGTACCTCTGCAGCACGAGAGACCAATTGGCACAAAAGGGAGGCAACAGCTTAGTGGTATTATCACTGGACTGTTAATCCAAGAGACCCAGATCATGTTCTGGGGGCCCGGGTTTGAATCCCGCCATGGCAGATGGTGGAATTTAAATCCAGTTAAAAAAAAAAACATGGAATTAATAATTTAACGATGACCATCAATCACTGTTAGAAAAACCCGTCTGGCTCACTAATGCCCTTCAGGGAAGGAAACTGCCATCCTTACCTGGTCTGGCCTACATGTGATTCCACACCCACTGCAATGGAGCTGACTCTTAACTGCCTCCTGGGCAATTAGGGATGGGTAATAAATGCTGGCCTAGCCAGCGATGCCCTCATCCCATGAATGAATTAAAAAAGAAATGTGCCTGATATACTGGTCTCCTTCATGACTTGGTCATCTGCACCCACAATAGAGGACTGAGGTGTGTTTGTCCCTGGGCATGTTCACCAGCCAATCCTCCCGGTTCTTCCCTCTTATAGTTGGGGGGCACTGACACCGGCACAAACCACACTCACATGCAGCCCCTTGCTTTTGCCCAAGTGGCCCCTTACCTTTCAGCCTCGGTCAGCTGCTCAATACTTCGAAACCACTCCACAAACCGATGGTCTGGGGTAAAGGAGTAATTGTTACAGGCCGACTGCAACAACTTAATCTGGGCAATCACTTCAAACTCCTGCCAAGAAGACAAAACTTCCATTTAACGCCGAGACAGATAGATTCCTGGTCAGGCGGGGAGTCAAGGGTGAAGGGGAAAGGGCAGCAAAGCGGACTTCAGGAATGCCCGATCAGCCAGAATCCTGGTGAATGGCACAGCAGGCTCGAGGGCCGAATGGCCTACTTCTGCTGCTTATGGTCTTATCCGCTGAGCGCATGAATGTGTATTGGAGGAGTGCAGGCTGCTGAGCAGAGAGCGGCAGAAGCACCCTCAATAGTTACTTTCGAAAGGAAACTGAAGAAATAGTGAAGGGGTAAGAGTCACGGGAGAAGGCAGGGGAAAGAGCTGGAACAAGAGAAGTCAATTAATTCGACTGCACTCATCCTTACAAAACCTTAGTCTGAGTCCTAACCAGTGACACTGGGCCTGGGGGAATGGGGCCTTCTCCATAACCTTTCCAAATGGAGCTACATCATTTTGATCTTTCCTCATATCCCCTGTCCTCTGGTGTATTCTCTTGCCCTACAGGACTCTGCAGAACTGCTCTGATCTCAGCTTCTAACATCCCACTTTCAACTCAGGGAGCTGTTCTATAATGACAAAGGGTGTTCATGTGGACCCTATTCTCCCTGTGGACGGTTCAGAGGGCCATAGATAGGCTCTCCGGTACCATCAGCCATATTGCATGTTCGCTAAATGTCAGAGCTGTGGGATGTCAGCTCTGCTGGATGTTTTCTTGCCTCAGTGTCCAGGGTGAGAGCGGTCAGTGACAGTGGGAGCGGTCAGTGCGGGTCAGTGACGGTGGGAGCGGTCAGTGCGGGTCAGTGATGGGAGTACCTCATTAAAAGTCCTGTACAGTCTGCATACAGATATCCAAAATGACCAAATGAGTTAGGTACGGAAATAGGCCATTTGGCTCCTTGGGCCTGCACCGAGTCATAGAACTGTTACAGCACATAAGGAGGCCATTCAGCCTATCCTGCCAGTACCAGCCCTCTGCAGGAGCTGTTCCTTGAATGCATTTCCTCTGCCTTTTCCCCCAACAGCCTTGCAATTTTTTTTTGGTTTTCAGATCATTTTCCTGTTCCTTTTTTGAAAAGTTGATCCTGACTCCACCACACTCTAATTCCAGATTCTAACCACTCACTGAGTGAAAATGGGTTTCCTCCTGTCACCAATGCTTCTTTTGCCAGTTACTTTAAATTGGGCTCCTTCTGCTTCTCAGTTCTTCCACCAAATGGGGACAGTTCCTCCCTCTCTGTACAGCCTCATAATTTTTGAAGCTCTCTCACAAATCTCCCCTCAAATCTTCTCTTCTCTCACACCCAGCCTCTCCACAAAACTGAAGCTCCTCATAGCATCATAGAGCTGTACAGCACGGAAACAGACCCTCTGGTCCAACTCACATGACAACCAGTCATCCTAAATTAATCTAGTCCTATTTGCCAGCATTTGGCCCATATCCCACTAGGCCCTTCCTATTCATGTGCCCATCCAGATACCTTTTAAAATGTTGTAATTGTACCAGTCTCCACCACTTTCTCTAGCGGCTCACTCCACACATGCACCACCCTTTGCATGAAAAAGCTGGGTCCCTTTTAAATCTTACCCCTCTCACCTTAAACCTATGCCTTCTAGTTCTGGACTTCCCCACCCTGGGGAAAAAACCTTGCCTATTTGCCCTATCCGTGCTCATGATCTTATAAATCTCCGTAAGGTCACCCCTCAGCCTCCGACACTTCAGGAGAAAACCCCAGCCTATTCAGCCTCTCCCTATAGTTCAAACCTCTTACACCATTCTTGTGAATCTTTTCTGCACCCTCCCCAATGCCTTCACCTCCTTGTTAAAGAGTGTTGCTTAGAGCTGGACACCAGAACTCCAGTGAGGGCCTGAAGCAGTGTTTTATATCGGATTAACATTTTGGCAAATGGAGTAATTTGCAAATGACTACTCAACAATGAACCAGGCTGTTAAATCACATACCTTTCTCCTTTTCTCAAAGTTGATCAAGCCTCCCTGTGAATGAGGAAACAAACAGGTTAATCTGAGGTCCAATACGACCTGTTGTATGTGTATGTGTTTCATATCCCCACCATATCTCTCTCTTTCCTCACGTGCATGACCATGCTTCAAGTGTCCAAGTGAAGTTAGATGCTGGCTGGCCATCCAGCTTTGGAACGTATTGCAGGTCAGTCTATTACTGCCTGCACCCAACATCTGAACAAGTGAGCTACCCCATAGGGGGCTTAGGACCCAGGCACAGCCACCGACAGTGAACATCGGGAATATGGAAAAGGTCGGAATTGGAGGAGTGCAGAGATTTAGGAGGGTGATGGGTCTGGAACCAAAGGTGGATTCGGAGCAGGAGGTGGCAATCAGCAGCTTTAGTGGGATGTGAAAAAGGATGGGTGCCTGTATTTCTGAGCTATAATGAGTCAGCCTGGCAGTAACTGAATCATTATAGAATCCCTACAGCGTGAAAGCAGGCCATTCTGCCCATCGAGTCCACCCCAAACTGAAGAGCACACCTCCCCTCCATTCCTGTAACCACCCTGCAATTCCCATGGCTAACCCACCTAGCCTGCACACCATGGGCAATGTAGCATGGTCAATCCACCCTAACCTGCACACCTTTGGACTGTGGGAGGAAAATCATACAGATACAGGGAGAACGTGCGAACTCCACACAGTCAGTTGCCCGAAGCTGGAATTGAACCCAGGACTGTGGCCCTGTGAGGCAGCAGTGCTAACCGCTGAGCCACTGTGCCACCATTAGGGTGGTTTAAAAATGATTGTTTATGATATATTAAAAATGATTGCTTCAGACTTTCATATGTCAGTTAAGCAAAGGCACTAATCAATTTAAAATTAACAATTAAATTCTTAATTAAACCAGTTCAGGAAGATCACGTGGACCATTTGTACTGGAATGTTGCAGGCAGTGGTTTCTTGGTTGTAACTGTTTGTCATATAAACTGAAAGCTTTACTTGGAAGAATACACCAGATGGTTCTTTTTCCACTTACATCCAAATGATCTTTCACCGCAGTGTCCAACATGACCAAGTCAGTGAGGAAGGTTCCCAGGTATGGGATCGTACCCTGCATCACACCCTAAGGAACACAGACAGTTTACAGTGTAAGAGCAAGATTCAAGAACAGCTTCTTCCCTGTTATCAGAATTATGAACGGACCTCTCAAGTATTAGAATTGATCTTTCTCTGCACCTTCTCTGTAGCTGTAACACTATATTCTGTTCCATTACTCTGATATACTTATGTAACGTATGATTTGTCTGGATAGCTTGCAAAACAGTACTTTTCACTGTGTCTCCGTACACATGACAATAATAAATCAAAGTTGCAGACAACTCTTTGAATAAACTGCTGATGGGTAAACTGCCACACTGTGAGGACGGGGTGATGGAGACTGGCAACAGACGGGCCAGTTGTCAAAGCGATTTGCGTGCGGCCTTCAGAGGGGGGATGCGTAAATTCTCAGCCTGTCCAGCAAGATGGGCTGCTAGGAACCAGAGTGAGCCCCGGTTCGTCACTCTTAGTACAGTAAAGGAATGGTATACCCACCACAAGCCCAGGGTGAACCGGGCAAGACAGCACAGGGTGGAGGGGTGGGCATCACTTCCAGATTGTGTTGGTGTCCCATGGGCTTGTAGGTCGTACGCTCCAGGCCTCTCGTGCCAGCAAGTAAGGAAAGAATAAGAGGAGGAATTGAGTGTGTTTTCCTCATTTTCCTTGAAACTTTTGCTCGTTAAATAAAAGGAGTAGGGGGAGAATCTGACTGGAAACCAAGAAACATCGAGTCAACAGAGCATCTGTTTGATCCACAATTGGTGAGTGAGCATGGGATGGGGTAGACCAACAGTGAAAGCAAGGACCAGGAACAGCAAGAGGTCTCTGAGGTGATATCTCCAGGAATCCATCCAACTAGAGTTGGCAATGCACAGGCATCATGGGAGGAAAAGCGGAGAGTGGGAGACAGTTCTCATGAAGAAGGAGTTGCAGCTTCTCGGCAGTAAGGCTTGTTCTTCTTCGCTAGGCCCAAAGTCAAGCTACAAGGCCTCAGAAAGGAGGAGAAGAATAAAAAGAAAATACACCTTCAACATCCAAAACAAAACTGAGGCAAGGTAGGGATCTTGCTGAGCAGGGTTCCCATTATATTCTTAATCCTCTTGATTTTTAATTCCAATTCTGAATCTGTAGCTCCCACTTTTATTTTACTTCAAATTGTCGACTTCTGTTTTAGTGCAAGATAAAGTTGCCATAGTCCTAGGGTTCTGTTCTCTTTTCTATGTTTAATTCACTCAGAAAGTGGGGATTACTGGCCGGGCCAGCACTTATTACTCATCCCTAATTACCCTGAGAGCAGCTGAGAGTTAACCACATGGTTGCGGGTCTGGTGTCGTGTGTAAGGCCTTCAGGGAAGGAAGCTGCAATCCTCCGTGGTCTGGCCTACATGTGACTCCAGACCCGCAGCAACAGGGTGAGACGATAGGCCTAGCGGTATTATCGCAGCACTGTTAATCCAGAGACCCAGATAATGTTCTGGGAATCTGGGTTCGAATCCCACCTTGGCAGATGGTGAAATTTGAATTCCGTATAAAAAAAAATTTACTTCCCTTAAAAAAGGACATTAGTGAACCAGATGGGTTTGTCCTGACAATTGACAATAGACTTATGGCCATCATCAGACTTAATTCCAGATTCTTTTCTTCTATTGAATTCAAATCCAGCTTCTGCAGTGGCTGGATTCAAACCCGGGTCCCGAGAACATAACTGGGGGTCTGCGGATTAATAGTCTAGCGATAACACCATTGGGTCATTGCCTCCCCTTAAATTTATGAGAATGTTTTCAGAACAGTTTTTGTTTTGTGATCTCAGAAGTTGACCTACCATTTCCTTTTGCTGCTGTTGTCGTTTCTGAGCCCTTTTGGGGTTGATGTCGAGCGTGGCAAACTTAGAAGTTCCCTCCTAGAGGTGAAATAGAAAAAAAGTTGGAGTCAGACGCAGCAAGAATTTCAGAACAGCAACACCAACTCTGTAGGTTGTTGTATGAAGCCATCACACAAGGTGGTGCCAGTTACTAAACCAGGCCCTTCCTCTAGGTGGCAGCACAATGACATTTTGGCCTGGGATGTAAACAAAGGAAGTCAATCTATCCGTCACCCCGGCAACGGTGACAAGACAAACTTGCATTTATATAACACCTTCCACCATCTCGCCACCCCGGATGGTCCCAAAGCACTTTACTGCTGAGGTTTGAAGTGTGGTCAGTTTTGTGACGTTGGAAATGCTGCAGCCAATTTGGCACAGCAAGCTCCCACAAGCAGCCACGAAATAATAACCCATTTGTTTCTGGGTTGCTGACGGAGGGTTAATTGTTGGCCAGGATTCTGGAGCGAGCTCACACCCCACTTCCTCAAAACGGCACCCAACACAAGTGACAAAACAGGGCCTAATACATCCCAGGTGGAGGGCTTTCTGACAGTGCAGCATACCTTCAGTACCGCACTGTGGTGTCAGCCTAGGTAGTGTCCATAGCTCTCCAGAGTGCGACTACAAACTCACAAGCTTTCAACTTGAAGAGGAGCACTCTACTCACTCATGTCCATGTATGAACAATGAAATAGGTGTATGAAAATCCAAGACGTTGTTGTTGCTATACCTCTGGGCTGGGAATGAGAAAGAAATGGGTTCCCTGTTCCTGACTGTCCCCCAGTGGTCCTGCTGGGAAGGAGACAGTAGGAACTGCAGATGCTGGAGAATCTGAGATAACAAGGTGTAGAGCTGGATGAACACAACAGGCCAAGCAGCATCAGAGGAGCAGGAAGGCTGACGTTTCGG